AACGGGCATGTTTAATCGATCAGTCTGTCCGCACTGTCCTTCCAGTCTGTCACTCGACGATAACGCTAAAAATCCAGCTGAACGTGTCAACAGCATAAATAAAGCGTCAATATGTGAGATGGAACACAAACCGGACTGTCACTGATTCTGCTATCACTTCACCGGGTGTGTCATCCTGAATCCCAGAAAGAGGGAGGACAAACTTTTACAAAACTTACAATCATCGATGATCGCTACATAGCGATGACCGTGCCAACCTCCTTTCGGCGCCAGTACACATTTCTTTCCCTCATCCACTCTGCAAAAGAATATAATATTTGATAACAGTTCCAAGTTTGTATGCCTGCATTAGAGCAAGATATCATAAAAATCACGGAATCACTTACGGAAGGCTACGGAATAAGCCAGTTGCAGGGTTTTTATACTTCAATCCGACTGCCTTCGGAAAAGAATGCGACAACGTGAAACATGGCAGAGTACCATCAGATGCTAGAGGTAGCTCAAGCGGTGTACAATCTTCATCTTCCGTGGCACAAACACATACATGGTCCACCTCTTCACCGTCAGCCGCAGCTTAATAATAAAAATACTCGTGCATTTTCTCATCTCAATTTAACTGATACTTTTCGCTCGATTCTAGAGATGCCTACTTATTTTGCTTTCAGCTTACAAGACAGGGATGAAGAGCTGAAAGAGTGAGCTCATAACATATACACCTACCTGATGTGTCTTGATTATTTTCCTGTTCACCAGCATCGTTTTCTTTCGTTTTCGCACATTCCTCTTCCTCTTCTTCTTCTTCTTCACGTGGTGGTATATTGACGTCACTCATCTTTCAGTCTAAAATTAAAAAGTAATGTCTGACTCATTCTTTAACATACGCTTGAATCTCTAAATTATGAACAACTTAGACAGCAAAACTATGACATCTGAATTATTCCACGTACAATTTCTTATTTCGATTTCATCAACAATTCTCACTTTCATATATTATTACAATCCAGTGCATTTATCTAAATAAATCAGAAGTAATTTTGATTAAAAACTTTAAAAAATCAAATTACAGCATTTCCAAAAGAATGAATATCATCACTACTGAGAGTACCGCAGGACCACATCATAACCCATTCAGGTTGTCAACTCATGGTACCTCCAATCCCGGAATGAACCTGCACCAACCATGCAGTATAACCTTTCTTGTCCACTTCTAACCATTTTGTGGCCCTTGACCCGTTATGAAATAGAAGAAGATCAGGCTTGTGAATGACTGTAAGATGTGGTCAAATTACTGTGTTTGACTAGTTATTTTTGTTAAGTTATCTGGGTAGAATATGCTAATAGCTCATTGTTTTTTAATGAAAAAGAAAAATTACAGCATTAAAAAACAAAAATTTCAAAGTTGAAAAGTGGGTACAACACTGGATGAGGAATTGCGGAATTTGGAAGTATTTTTGGCGTTATTAAGAAGTATATAACTCTGTGCAAATATATTCAAAAAGATATGCTACAATGAAAGGAATCATTTATACTTTCATATTTATTAACTTTTATAATTATAATTGTAATTCATATTTTAGATTAACTTAGCTTACTATCATATATTCACATTTATGTAATCGATATTGTGCACAGAGAAGAATATGAGAACATCGCATAATATCCGTTATGTGATGCTAACAGTGTCCGTTATATGATATTACTGTCATTGGTTAAAGAAGTTTCAGCTAATTGCAATGAATATGCATGGAAGTTAATGGTATTTTTATAAATTTTGTAAACTTGATTTTTGGATAAATGAAGGATTCGAATTAATCTAATTTGAGCTAATTAAACAAAATTTGAATTTGATTTAATCTAGTTTGAATTAATCAAACTAAATTTTGATATATAGATTCGGATTTCGGAAGCTGAGATGTACGTTTCATTTTGTCCTTGACGCAACCGGTTCTGAGTTAGAACGGTGATGATCATTGATGGTTACTCGGTGCTTTTCCTTTTTACTGTTGGTGTATTGGTATGTTTTTACTTCTCCATGGGTAGAACAATGATACTTAGTAGTCATCATTTTTGATACTTTTGTAAGCTTATTATTGATCTAGCTCTATGACCATTTATTTACTAAGTTAGTAGCGTTTGATATTCTGAATTACGTGCATACTTGAAATATTTAATTATTTGATTGCTGGATAGAGCTTGAAAAGATGAAAAATGTCTTCCCAGTTATGAAAATTATAGATTACCATCATTTTGGCGATATTTGTTCAACGGCAGATATTCCGAATGCGTGATAACAGTGTACGTCGGGAAGCTAATATTGTCGTTGGAGCGGGTTTATCGAAGGTATTCATCCATTCAGTCATGTTCTTTTATAGCTTTAATAGCCAAGTTCTTCATCAATTTCATCTGACAGTATAAGAGAAAACAACTGTCGAGCATTTTACTCCCAGCGTTAAACGCTAGCAATTGGACGGATTTCGATTAGTCAATTAATTCGTGTATTATCATTTATTGAATTATAGAAATGCTAGAAAATAGTATGCGAATAATCAAATAATCATTCATTCATTTTTCCTCTTTTCGAAAATGCATCCCAAGCATTTGATTTCTATTATATTTAGCGCAAAAAGGAAGAACTTGACCGAGGCATTGAAATTGTTCGACAATTTCAACTTCTGCGTGCTCCAAAATTTACCGAAATAGGAACTATTGCGGAACGTAAGTTTTTTATTTACTAGTTTTTTGGTAGTAATTCTGATCATTGATGCTCAGTTCTGCTATGCTGAAAGGTGTCTTATCTCTCTCTCTTTTTTTTTTTTTTAATTCATCCCCTTTCCTGTTTACTTTACTTCCTATTCAATAGTGGATTGCAAACATTTTATCACATAAAGCATTCTAATTTCAGATGCCAATGCGCCTTATATCAATCGAATGATTGCCATGGACGAACTGCGAGAAATTGGTAACTTTCTGGTATGATTAGGGCCACCAATCTCTCTACATTTAGTGAGTCTTGCGTCAGTCTTGTCTAGTCAGCTTTATTATTATCAGTATGTCTTAAGTGTCACATTGTATCACCAGTAATGAAAGATGCACATCATGTGTAGTGGACCAGTTCTAGAGCTTGAGGTTGAGAAAAATAGCATGATATGTTTACTTGCATGAAAAAAACTTGTGATTAGTTATATCATATTTTTATGCACAGTTTATAGGGTGCTGAAAAAATCGAATCATTTTGGTTAGAATGAACATTTATTGTTCTGAAGGTATTGCTGATACATAAAGAATAATGCGGCTTTAGTCAAATATCTTCAGTCTTTAAAATTCCAGAGCGACAGTTAGAGTTCATAAATGGTGACCTTGTTCGCATAGCAGGTGAGTCGATGTATGCTTATTTGTCTCGAATCCGTCAGATAGCACTACCTTCGCTATCGGAGCATCTATGTGAACGAATCGGTTTATTGGCAGAACATTGCAGATATCGACATCAGGTCAGAACATATTTTTGCTTTTCCATCTCTGTTTAGTATTTTAAAGACTTCATTACTGCTATCATTCAGAGCTGTACAGATATTTGCAAAGATATTTTAAGTGGAAATATTTCAGCCCTTCGGTGAATCAGAATTAACCGAAACTCGTGCACTGATCAAAGAAATTGTGAAAATGTAAGTTACAATGTCTTTTGGTGGCATTATCAAGTCTTACAGTATTTTATAAAGTCTTATAAAGAAAATCCACTGATTGGATATTTCAGATTAAATAATGAACAGGAACGCCTCTCTGCGTTTCATGCCAAAGAATCAACAAGCTCAACATTACAAGAAATTACCAAGAGGTATAATGTAAATTTTGTTAGTCGTTCATTCATCATTATTTACTACATTAACTCTGTTCTACTAATTCTGCTTATTCTTAGGTTAACAACAGGAGAAAAAGGGACGCACAAAAGAAGCACAACTGTGAATGCGATACGAAATGCTTTTTTGTCATCTGATAAGGTTTCTCAGTGAATATTCTGTTGTTTAACCTAATTAAATGAAATTTATCGCTGTTTCCCATTTTATGTTTTATCATATATTAAGCAGTTTTCAGAATGAGACGACATTAGCAAGAGCAGAAGATGATCAGAGGAAACCATTGATAGCTGATGATAAGAAGACAGTTAGTGACACACCTGCACTTCATATTTTGAGTTCTCGTATAACTACTGCCGACACTCAAAACACAAAACCCTTGGAGCGCACTCCACTTATTGCATAAATTTCTACCTTCATTAACAATGGCGTACGATGAAAGGAAGGAGAGTGGGAGTAGTAGTCAAAAGCCACAAGCACTGCGAAATATCACAAAGCTTGAAGAGTTTAGAAGAATCTAAGATTCAGAGCAGTATTTGAGTGGGCTAAAAAATTGCAGTTAAATGCAAAACTGCAGCAATTTCTACCTTATTTATTATTAAGTCCTTTCTTCGAATGCCATTGTAAATATAGAGCGGAAGCTTTTTTCAAGTTATGGAAGATGCTGCTCCGTTTACTTATTTTCGAAACCAACAGTATTCAAAGTATTTATTGTATATATATTTTACAAGTGATATTTGTTTTGCGGGTCTTTTCATCTTCCTCTTTTTTAATATTGTAATAAAAAGATAGGAATGGTTCCAAAAATACCACAAAATCAGTGTGTGATATAATAATACATGTTGAAAACATGTAAACCCAATTAAAGTGCTGATGTAATAACCGACCAGATCGCTTTAATGATTCTTATATATGTTTTTTTTTTTTAAGTTAAACAACCCTAATTTCATGTGCTGTTCTAAATTTTATTGCGAATTTTGTGACGGAGTTTCTGATTAACTTTGAAAGCTTACGAGAAACATTTTGAGGAAATCTCATATTCATCCCAATCATAGAAATCGAAACTTCTTAGGCAACTGTGTATCATTCAGAGAAAGGATGATGTCAATTTACTGATCGATATAGCAGTCAAATATGATCAGATTATCTTCACCATGATAATACACTGCAAAATGGTAAATAAGTTAGTAGGAACTTTGTTATCAATTTTGCGATTTAGAAAACAAAAGCCCTTATCAGTGTATTTGTGAATAAGTAAAGCAAACTATTCAACATAAAAGAAACATTCTCAAGTCTGACTTCCTTATCAAAACATGATTGATAAGACTTACTCATATCCATGCCATTTTTTTTTCCACACATTGCATCGTGTGTTACCTTCCTCTGCATCACGATTCCCGATCGGTTTATAGGAGGGGATATGTCTCATAGGTTTCCGATGCTTATTTTGATTAGCTAAACCTGTTCGTGGCATTGATATCATTATGGAATCGTCCGATACCCAAAATTTATCTTTTTGCAATGGCTCTGCAATTCTTTACCTTGAGAAAGACAATGAAGATATTCACTGAATATAATTAGTACGAGAACAGACCGTAATCATTCATCTGAAGTCGATCAACGATGGCGAAAGATACGCCAACATTACGCTCGAAGATATAGTCAAGCTCGAAGTCATCATCATCCATACCAAAGGGACGCATCAAGTCTTGTCCTACCTGAACTTCAGATATGCAAATTAATTATTCCATCAATCCAAAAAGTATCGGATTATTTTACAAAGCCTGGTACAATTAAATGCAAAAAAGAATTCTTAACTCTGAAATTAAAATTTTTCATACTCTCAAATTACATTAATTACAAATAAATTAGTGGTAATTATGTGAAGGGAAAAATACTTCCACAAATGTAATAAATTGTTTACTTTGAACCAGCCAACGAAGAAAAGGAATTGAACGATTGTAAAGATCGGAATAATAAGATCTACTTCATGATCTCGATATTTTTTCGATGGATCCAAATACTGTCTGCCTATGAGGCAAAAGCCAAAATGTGCGTAAGTGGCTAAAGCTGCTACCTTCAAATTTTAATATCCTTCAATTATTAGATATGAAATAAAAGCAAAGCAAATCTATCATTCCATTCTTCTTCAAAAGATTTTTATCCCTAAATCTATTGATTAATCTAATATTTAAATGAAAAAGAAATACAAAGAAATTACCTGAGTGTAAACCAATGGTACGCATACCCAATCATAGGAGAATAGTTTACGAAATGCTGCTCGATAGGCTTTTAACTCTTGCATGAAATGATTAACGAGAGCTTGAGGAGGTGCATTATCACTTAATTCATCCATGACAATTTGCTGTACCCAATGAAGTGGTATCATCCATCGTATATTTTTAATTTCTCTCTGCAATAGATTGTGATACTGCACATATTACAAATCATTTTGTTTAAGTAATTGTTAAGTTAGCATGAGTAATAGTTAAATCATTATGTTAAGTTAGCAGAAGTAATAGTTAAATCATCATGTTAAGTTAGTAGAAGTAATAGTTAAATCATCATGTTAAGTTAGTAGAAGTAATAGTTAAATCATCATGTTAAGTTAGTAGAAGTAATAGTTAAATCATCATGTTAAGTTAGTAGAAGTAATAGTTAAATCATCATGTTAAGTTAGTAGAAGTAATAGTTAAATCATCATGTTAAGTTAGTAGAAGTAATAGTTAAATCATCATGTTAAGTTAGTAGAAGTAATAGTTAAATCATCATGTTAAGTTAGCATAAGTAATAGTACTAACCGAACTTTCGTTAATCAATTGTAATTCTGTCTCGGTAAGAAGACCACTTTGCACTAAATGTGACAATGACGGAAAGCGACGTCGAATTGTGCTCGATATTTCTCGACTAAAATATTAGCATACCTAATTGATGAAATTTTAACAACATATATCAAAAATAGTCTGATAATATAAATACTAACTAGACAAGAGCAGCCACCAAGTTGACATATCGAGCAATAGTATGTCGCCGTTGTTGACTCTTGATATCCTTACCTGGTATTAACGTACATAATAATGACAATATATCTTCTGGCCAAGGTATGCATTCAAATTGTCGCCACCATCTGAAAATTTATGCATAAATTTTTAATAAAGAAAAGATTGGTATTTAAAAAATAAAAATGATGTTAATTTTAGTTTCATTATTTCTTTATGTAAACTTATAGAGAAATCTATTTTGATTGATTTTTCAGATCATCCTATTTCAATAAATGATGTTGTAAATAAACAGAGTATTCATTTTTAAAAAAAAAGAAAAGAAAAAAAATGATTTACCTGATAACTACATTGGATACATAGAAACCTAATAAAAATGTAAGAGGTATCATTCTTGTATATTGATCGAATGTTATTGCAATTCGTTCAAATTCAAACCTAAATTAATAAAAATTTAACAAAATTACTATTACTAAATAGATAGAAATTAATTCTTATATTTTATAATTTAGATTAAATATAAATAAATTAAATTACCTATATTTTTCAGGATTTTCCTTATCAAGCAACGGTAATATTTGATTGTAGATGAGTCGAATAATATAATAAAGAATGAGAAAGATAAATAATTCTCTCCAAACTAATCGCCATAAACTTCCTTTCCATCGAATTAAAAGACGACAGAAATTACCCGTATATGAAATTGTCATTCTAAGAGACTATTTGTTGTTTGATGACTGATTTCAAACTGTCTTTGTTATTGTAATCATCGATTTTCTTTTTTTTTTTTTTTTATGAAAATGTTAAAATAAAGAATGAAAAAGAGGCAAAGATTTTTGTTGTTGTTGTCGATAACAGCTGTGTCATCACAATACCAGTCAATCGATCGATCAATATCGAAATGTGACAATAGTTTGTGTCACATCCTTATTTGATGACATCTAATGAGTTGACATTAAGTTAAATTTTTCACTCATACATTGATACATCTGCTCTCAATCATTTAATAATCTTTCATAGGATAATAATTCATTCATACTTTTAAAAATTCAATACATAATCATTTGTTATTCTTATAAAAAAAAAAATTTTTTTTTTTATATGATTCATTAAAATTCCTCAAGAAAAATATTTTAAAAATATTTATCATATGATTCATTAAAATTTTTAATTTTGTTCTTATTAAATTTCATATAATAATGATAATTTCTTCTTATCAAATCATTGATATAAATTTGAATGAAAAAAAAAAAGAAAAAAAAAGTGGAAAATTTATACATTTGAAAATTATTCTACATTCTATCTTATAAATTACAATTTAGTGTTTATTATTATTTGAAATAAAATTAAACAAAAAAATATGGCAAAGAGATGATATAAATTATTACAGTTTTAATTACAGCTAATTGTTTTTATCAATTTATCAATGAAATGCATTAATAGTAACATTTAACAAATTTATAAATGATATTTGCTTTATTATTCATTCCTTTTTTTTCCGGATAATAGTTAAATTTCATTTTCATTTTTCACAAATTAACATTACTACAAAATAAATAAGTTAAATCATTTAAAAAAACAAATAAATAAATAAATAATAATAAAAATAAAAGGCAAAAAAAGGAAGTATTTAAATGTTTGCATTTTTAATAAAATATTTACTAATTTGCAAAAGTGTTTGCATTTTCATCAATAATAACAATAAATAAATGATAGAATATTATGCAATGCCAAAAAAAAAAAGAAAGAAAGAAAGAAAGAAAAAAATTATTTATTTATTTCAAATTAATGTAAAATATGCATATTAAAAAATTTTTAATTGTGTAAAAAAAAAAAAATTTTTTTTTGCTTATTATTTTATTCGTATAATTTCAATTAATAAATACATTTAGTAATGCAAAAAATTAATTTCTTTAAATTTAATTATATTCCGAAAAAATTTAGAATTATTTAATATTTGTACAAAAAAAAAGAAAAAAGTTGAGAATAATTAAATTCTATCAATTTCAAATTTAACATTTATCATTTCAAGATATTGTGCATGACCTTTTTTTGTTTGCAGCATGCTTTCTGGCCAATAATTCAATAGCCTTAACTTCAATATCACTATAGCTACTTCCTCGAGTATTTGGCATCGATTGACGACGTTTTTTCATTTGGGTTGGATGAAAATCACCAATTTCACTTAGTACACGCCGAAAAATCTCGGTTACCTGTAATAATAAATTAATTGATTGATTATTTTCCATTAAATTATCATATTTATTTTAAGAAAAGAAATTAATTTTTAAACAATAATGAAAAATAATTTACATTTTAAGAGATAAAATAATGAAAAATAATTTACATTTTAAGAGATAAAATAATGAAAAATAATTTACATTTTAAGAGATAATAATTTAGAAGTAATTAAATTATCAATTAATTTTATACAAATATATGTATTAATAATATAACTTATTTGTGTATTTATCTTTTTTTTTTTTTTTTTTTTTTAGATTCACAAAATTTATCACAATAATTTGAGATAAATTAGAAATGATAAAAATGAAAAAATTTTTACCTGAAAAAGATTAGTAGCAGAAAGGGCAGCAAAATGCAGCTTATTCTCGACCGCATAAATTCTCGATTCTTTTGTTGCCCATTGTTCTTCACATTCATACAAATCGATCTTATTAGCAACCAAAAGTATTGGTGCTTTTTTGTTATTTCGTAGTCGAACTTCTTTAATAATATCTTTAGCTTCATCTAATGATATTGGATCATCCACTGCAAACACAACCTAAAATTTAATATCATAAATAGAAAAAATTAAAATTAAAATTAAATGCAAGAAGTGATAAATTTTAAATTGATTATATTTCGATAAATTTATTTATATCAAATATTAGTTAATAAATAATCTCTTCATGAATATCAATTATAATTTTGTTCTAGTTTTAATTACAAAAATTGATCACTTTTATTTGATTAAAAAATTATCATTAAAATATATTCATTTATCAGATAAGTTATTCAAATTGAAAAAACAAAAATGAAAATAAAATTAAATGTAAGAAATGATAAATTTTAAATTGATTATATTTCGATAAATTTATTTATATCAAATATTAGTTAATAAATAATCTTTTCATGAATATCAATTATAATTTTGTTCTAGTTTTAATTACAAAAATTGATCACTTTTATTTGATTAAAAAATTATCATTAAAATATATTCATTTATCAGATAAGTTATTCAAATTGAAAAAAACAAAAATGAAAAACCTACAACAAAAGCATCACCAATTGTTTCATATAAATGTCTCATAGCCAAAAAATCCCGCGATCCACTAGAATCAATTATCTAAAATAAATTCAGCTTCTTTTTTTTTTTTTTTAAATGATTGATAATAATTCAAAAAAAAAAAAAAATTGAAATTTTAATGAAAGTATTTTTATACTTGTAAAAGTGTCCTGCCACCGTCATCTTTCTTATATTCAATCCAATTGAATTCTTCCACTGTTGGATGATACTCTCTGATAAATTCTTCCCATAAAAATTGACCCACAAGGGCACTTTTACCAACCTATTAAATAAATATCAATTTTTTATCTTTTGATCAATTTAAATTTTTTTTTTTTTTTAAAAAAGAAATATTTTATTAACTTTTGTATAAAATGAAATATTATAGGTATTACCTTAGAGCCACCTAAGACGAAAAGTGTATATTGGGATGTTGTGACGACGGATGAATTATGACGTTCACGTACTGAACCAAATTTTAAACGCATTCCGCATGCATTTACGTGTTAAAGTTTAATTCTTCCTGAAAAAAAAAAAAAGTGATCGTACAGAAAATACTAATTAATGATTCATTCGAAATTTACATTAATTATGTATCCATTGTAATCAGTTAATGACATTCAATGTTTGAAATTTACTGAAATTCGAATTTAAAATTCAAGAAGAAATATGCAAGCCAGAAATGCAAGTATACAGTTTTCACGTTATTTATTTATTGATTCACTTTTTTGGCGTATACACACGCACACGTACGCACAAATCATAAAACCTACAATATTACAATTTTTTTTTTAAAAAAAAAAGATTTCAACAAAATGAAATATTAACAGTGACAGTAAGGTAAGTTTTAATCGTATTGACAATAGCAGAAATTAATTTCAACGGTTGGTTGTTATTCTCTAATGACAATTCTAATGTCACCGTTAAGCATTTATTTGTTCTGTCTAATTAGTAGTTAGATAAATGTTAAAGCTTAATATGAGCCAAGCATTGCTATGAGCCAAGTTTTTTTTCATGGCCAATAACATCTCTGTGGCAACTTTTGTCACAAAAATTAATTTTACAAGTAATTTCAGATGGAAAAGTCTTAATTTTATCGCAAAATGATTTCAATTCGTATTGTACACATTGATTAAACTTATTCATAAATATAATTATTATTAAATTTTAATTACTATAAGTTTATTAATTTTGTTATTTGAACAATTAGAGTGATAATTGAAATTATTTATTTATTTATTTATTATTATTATTATTATTGTTGCTGTTATTGTTATTATTATTATTATAACATCAATATTATTGATTATTACTTGCTGAAATGTTGACAATTGTAAATTATATGGCAAATATATGAGAAATATGAGTCATACATACTTACCTACAACAACTTGATAACTTAACTTTTCTTAGGTAATACTATTACTTAGACTTCTTTTGCTAGCAATTATGAGAAATATGATTTATTGCGTAAGATTCGCTCTAAAATTGATTAATATAATTTTTTTTTTTTTCGCCGATAATTATAAAGTAACTCAAATTCTCCAAAATATGATTAACATTACTCATTGCTTATTATTTCTACTATAGATTATCACTCTCACTTATCACAGTTATCAATGATAATATCATTACTATTGAACAATTTAACATTAGTTAATAACAATCCTTTTTATCAATCAAATTTGTGAAGAAGGAAAAAAAAAACAGAGAGAAAATGATAAAATGAAATTGTGTTTAACATTAATATTTAATTCAGCAAACCGTTTATTTAATTTAGCTTCAGCTGCTAATTTAATATTTATTTAAAATGTTAAAATTTTTTTTTTTTTAAATTTTTACTAATTGAAATAAACTGAAAAAAAAAAGAAAATTAAATAAGAAAAAAAAGAGGTAATAAGCTAACAGAAATACTTTTTCTAATTATTTGTTAATTTATACATGTTTATTTCTATTGAAAATAACTTAATCATTTACATATGAATGTATAAAGGAGCAATTAGCAATAATAATAATAATAATAATAATAATAATAATAATAATAATAATAATAATAATAATAATAATAATAATAATAATAATAATAATAATAATAATAATAATAATAATAATAATAATAATAATAATAATAATAATAACAATAACAATAATAATAATAATAATAATAATAATAACAATAATAATAATAATAATTAATGGCAATAGTAATAATAATAGCAATAATAATAATAATAGTAATAATAACAATAACTTAACCATTTAAATTTTTATTACTAATAAATAAAATCTATTGAAAGTAATATTACAATACAAATATGATAGTTTATTATTTTTTTTCTTTTAAATTGTTAGAAATACCTTAAAAACCAAAAAAAAAAAAAAAAACTAATTAGTATAATCGAAAAGGGAAACATTTTGTTCAAAATCATTGAATATTATTTATCCATCATTATTGTGCTTACTTCTCATCAACAACTAATACAATTTTTCTCACGGCAAACTGCTAATAATAATACCTTTTCTAATGAAAGTACGTACTTACCTGAGAAATGGTCAATGATCATTATTAGATATAAATATATAAAAATTTTCCTTTTGCTTATAATTATAGAAAATATTATACAAAATTAACTGACATAATCAAATAACTCAAAAACAAAGAATTTTTACGTAATTCATTTTATATATATTCAAAAATACGCCTATCATTTAATAAAATCAAATAATAGGTGTGAAATAATTAATATATAAATAATTATTTTTAGCATTATCATAAATTATTTAAAAGAAGAAAGAATGAAATGAAAAAGAAAAAGAAATTTTTTTTTTACATTTAATAATATAAAATAAGAGATGAAAAAAATTGACAAAATTTTGATAACAAAGTTTTTTTTTATTTAATTTTTAAATTCACACATATTTTTTTTTTTTTAATATAAATTTTATCAATATTAATGATATTTAAATATTTTCTTACAATTATTTAATGATATATATATATTATCAATTACTAAAAGAAAAAATTGAAAAAATTCAATATTACTATTTGTTCTGATAAAATATAAAGAAAAAAAAAAAAGTTTGAAGATTTTAATAATTTGCATTTTCTCAATTTATTTTCTGTTGCAATGATAAAAAACAAAAATTTCATTATAAATAATATTTTTAAGATATAAACGGCAATTTTTAGCATTTTTATTTTAAAATTAAAAATTTGAAATTTTTGTTAATTTATATTTCCATTATTTATTTATGCACAATAACAAATTCCAAAATGGATAAAAGTTCAAAAATTGAAAATAATTATGAATTGAAAATATAATAAACTTATAATTATCAATTCAATTTCTAACAATTGATAATTATTATTTCAAATTTTTTTTTTTTAAATTTTAATTTCTGCTTTAGTAAAATTTGTAGCTGATGACTACTCTTGTTTTCAAATAATATTAGCAATTATCATTTTATTAAATTTCCATAATTTAACTTTTCAATTTTGCTCACTGATTTGAAAATAGAAATGTTTTGCAAAAAACTTTCAGTCAGTAATTAATTAATTTGATAACTTTTTATTTGATAGTATTAATTACAAACTGTTTCAAATTCACTAACAAAATTTCATTTATTTTTAAATTATTTCATTTTTTAGCTTTAAATCATTTCATATTCTTAATCCATCTATGAAATAATTTTATTTTATTTTTTCTTTAATAATACTATTTACAAACTTTTATATATTCAATTCATCTTTTGCTAACCTTTTTATTATTTTATATTAATAAATATATTTCTTAAAAGTAATCTTATTAACCGATTGAATATTTTCGATTACAAATACTTCTTTTCACTTTACAACCATAAAATTTTAAAAATTTTCAAATTTGAATTAATTTATTTTTGAAATAAAAATTTATAATCGTTTTATTGTATGCTTTTTATCGTTATCATATATTATCCTAAATGATTTTTACAATCTTTGATAATAGCCAAACTCATTTGAGTTTTTTCTTACTTTCTCTCTCCCTCTCTCTCTCTCTCCCTCTCTCTCTCTCTTTGCATAAGTTATTAACTAATTATGAAAAATTTGATAAAAATTTCTTCTTGATTCATCCTATAATTAATATTATTGATCATTTCATTTTCTCATTTATTTCAAATATTTTTTTTTCCTTTTTTACGATTAGCCTTTCTTCTAATTAACTTATCTGTAAAGTAATTCAGCAATAGCTTAGCTTAATCACATATTTAATTGAAAAACAATTGGAAATTTTAAAAAAGTTTCACAAATATAATTCACTTATGCTAGCTAACCTTTAATCGATTAAAGGTTAGCAAATGAAAGGAAAAAGTTGAAAAAGAATTTAAATTTAAATTTAAAAATAAACTGACAGTTGTATGATTGACTGTTGCAATTGAATTAATTCATTAATTAACATTTAATAAGTTATTGTTTTTGTATTTTAGTAATAAATTAAATTAAATTCGAAATAAAAATATCGCATAAGTCAGATAGACAAAGCAAAAGAGAGAGAAAAAAAAAGAGAACAAAAGAGGAAAATTTTAAATTTTCTTTAAATTATGATTTTTTGTTTTTGAAGAATTATATTATAAAAAATAAAAATAAAAAAAAAAAATGCAAAATATATTAGTGTTGTGAGTTACACAATTTTTTCTTTAAAAAATTTATTTTTATATTTTTTTTTTATTTTTTCATTAAAAACCAATTAAAAATAGTACACTTGAAAAATGAGCATTAATAACAATATGAGTTAACTGAAATAAACACATACTACTGCTATGGAAATATTTTTCAATAATCAATTAGTTAATACTTTAAAGTAATTTCAAGTGATATTTGTTTAATAAATAATAAAAGTAAATAAAAAAAAAAAAAGTATTTTAAAGTAAATAAAAAAAAATAATACTACTGTGATAAATAAAAGAAAAAGGAATTGTATTATTGTGGAAATATTTTTCTATAATTAATTAGTTAATGTTTAAAAGTAATTTCAAGTGATATTTGTTAAGTAAATAATAAAAAATCACTAAAGGTTATTTTTTTGTTTTGTTTTGTTTTGTTTTTTTTTCAACTTTTTTTCTTGCTTATTATTAAAGAAAATTTTTTACTTTCGCTTTTTTAAATTTTTGAAAGTTTTTTTTTTTTTGTTTCTTGGAAAAATCTATGAAAAAAATTAAGCAATAAGGAAATTAATTATAAAAAAGCAATGTTTCATTTCATTTTTAAATTGCTAATAATACAAAATGAATTAATTTGAAATGAAAAAACTAAACAAATATCACAATTAAAAAATTTTTTTCATTAATTAATGATTGCATAAAAATAATTTAATTAATAAATAAACATATGTTTTATATTCAAATTTTTTTAAAAAAAAAAACTTTAAATTGTTATATTGCTATTTTAATTTATATGATTTATTTAATATAAATTAATTATAATTAAATTATAGTGATTAAAAAAAATCAA